TTAGCCAGGGTGCCACCAAGCTCCACGTGGGCAGGCGCAGACGGGTAGCTGCCCAATCAGCTGGAGCGTGGTTCAGCCTCCTCTGGGCTGAACGCCACAGCCAGCAGGCCAGGCAGCTTCTCCTCTGTGCCCGCCCACATGGAGCGTGGTGCACCCTGGCTGAGCGCCATGGCCAGCTGGCCGGGCAGCTGCTTCTCTTCCCTCCAGCCCGGCTGCCCTGCACTCAGCCCAGGGAGGCTGTGCCTAGCTCCAGCTGTGAAAGACACAGTCAGCTGGCTGGGGTGTTTCAGCCCTCCCGACCTCCCAGCTCCCACCATTCCTCGAAGCTACTCACCTGTGTTGTTGCTCGGTGAGTAGCTGCTCCTCAAATGAGGAAATCTAATGTAAATGTACTGTGCAGGTGCGCAGTTCAGAGAGGGCTCAAGAGCTACTCTTAGAGCCCCTGAGAACTACCGGTAGCTCACGATCTACTGGTTGGTGACCACGGCCATAGACCAATTTGGGAAGCACAGCATTTACTGCACAGGCTACAAAGCCCTTTGCCTAGTTGTGGTGACAGAGTTGCACTTTGTTTCTGTGCCTGGCACTATTCTTCCAGCTCTTCAACTTGATTCTTCTGAAAGTCATCATGGATGCCCACCCTTCCCGCACTGCACCATGCATGACCATCAACTACCAGATGCTCAAAAGGCAAGTCAGAAATGTTTGTTTCTCGGACACTTTGTTGCAGGGTGTCTTTGAAGCATTTAATCTATTCTCATGTTTATGATTGCCAGAGCTGAATTTAGAATATGTCTTGTTTTGATAAACAGGCCCCACACATACAAATTACATGATCAGTCATTCTCAATTGGGTGCAGATTAAATGAGCCTTGAAGCTGACTGAACTAGGCAGTCAAGACCTAGGGTCAGAGTAGGGGGAAACCTGAGGTTGGGAATAATGGACAAATTTGGAGTCAGGTTCCAAGCCAGTGTCGATACTAAAAGTCAGAGTCTAAGTCAGGTTTCTGGGTCCAAGTCAGGAGGCAAAGTCCAAGTCAAGCCAAGGTCAAAGCTGGGAGTTTAGGATCAAGGAGCAGAAATGGTTGTGGCAGCTACAGAAGATTTCAGCTGTTGCCTATGGGCGCTTCCTGGAACATCCCTAGTCTCAATAGGGTTCAGAGCCATTTAGAAGCCATGACGTTGCTGTCTGTCAGACCCCTTGAGGCTGGACTTGCTCAGAGCAAATCATGGGGTCATGGAGTACAAGGAGGTTAGACCTGCTAATGCATGCTAGCATGGTGCAGCCTGCAACCAATCAGCTCTGCAGGCCTGGGTACTAGACCCAGGGGATCTTACACCAGCTCTCTCCAGGACTTCCATGTAAGGAAGGTAGTTCTGCTCTTTAATGCCAAACAATCATGATATGTATTGCAAGGGGAAACTGTCAAGTTTTTTATTATGCTCTTGACAACAGATTAATGGTAGGCACCCACAAAGTAATGTTGTTAGGACAACAGCATTATAGACTTTGATTTTGTTTCTAGACAGATTCTACCTTGACTTCAGATTCAATGATGGAAGAGATCATATGCAGAGCTGGCTTTCTTGATTCAGAAATCTATCTTATGGCCAATTGTTACTTTATTCTTGACAAGTTTAGTAACCTTTTGATGCTTGGCATGGGGTACATTCTATGCTTATTGATGGGTCTCGGTAAAATTGTTGAGTAGAAGGTTGGTACATAGCTGTTGGTTTTGTTTGGCTGATGGTGAGGCTAAAGTTATGAGCCACTGCAGCAAAGTGGTTTATAAGACCTTGTAGTGCTGCTTCAGAGTGTGTTTCTTTAACATCACCTCTCCTTGTTCAGCAAAGCAGCAGATCAGTCACGGAGGATTCTGTGGTGCATCTATAGTAGGAAGTACTGAGAATGGACAGGAATGTGTCTGGGAAGAGAGGAACTGAAAACTGGTGGCAGCAATTTCTGGTGAATTTGGGATACAGCTGTAAGCTGGGTGGCAGTATGATTTGGCCAGTAGCAAAGGAATCGGGTATGGAGTAGCTGAAGTACTCAGAAATATTATTACATGGAGCCCAAAAAGCTCAAGGATGAATTGGACAGTAGCAATATGATGGGGTTGAGGCACAAGAATGAGATTAAGAAGCTTTGGGCAGTGCTAACACAGTATCATTGAATAATGAATTTCAGACCAGGGTAGGGCTAAGATGAGGAAGGAGGATATTCTGGGTCAGTTTCTCAAACTTTTTTCCATTTGGGATGCCCTAACAGTTGAAGTCTATTTCAGTGACCTTAATAATCACTAAATCATTTACATTCATACACCACCCTTTGCAGGGACACAGCAAGAAGGAACATCAGGCTTCAGGTTGAGGTGGAGAGAGGGCATGTTCTATGGCTGAGAGACTGGTGTTGGGAATGTTGGTGGAGTGGCTGCCACCCAGTATTTAAAATTGGATGTGGATGCTGTTGGTGTGGTGTGGACTGCTGGGAGGTACAGAAGGCTGAAAATGGTGGTGTGCTGCTGGAAGGGAAAGGGGGTGCTTCCCAACCCTGTCTTCATTCTGCTTTGCTACACTGAAGTGCTGCTTAAATTTTGTGAGGGGCTGACTGAGTGTTGTGAGTAGCACCACCTTTCACCCTCCACCTTGCCAGAACAAAGTATGATGCAGGCAGCAGGAGAGAGGTGGGAGCAGTATTTCTACATCCCTTCTCTTAGTTTGCTTCCTTTAGGTCCTAGTAGAGGTGGTAGCAACACACCTTGAATTGGAAGGTGGGGAGGTGGATGGATAGCAGGGCTCCCCATCCTAACTCCTACTTATCTGTTGGCCAGATCCTGGGTGCTTCCTTGGCTGCTTCTGCCACTTTGGGTCCTCTTGTAGCATTAGCCCCCTTTGCACATGAACTCAGCTACTGCCTCCCTGTCAGTGAAAGTGTGCCCAAACCCTGCCCACTGCTGAGGTAGGAGGTGCTGGAAAGAATCTGACTGTCTCTCAGCTATTGAACAATCAGTCAATGGGGAAGCAATAACTGGAGTTGGGTGGCTTGGGCAGAATTGGAGGGGAAGTGGAGCCAAGTGAGGGGCAGAAACATAGATCAGTTGTCATATTATTTCCATTGTGGTGGCACTAACATCCACTGCCTCTCTGGTTCAGCTGGCCATGGCTCCTACTGTTCATCAGGGTTTGGCAATTTTGCCATGACCATGCATTAGCCCCTCTAGAGCTGGTTGAAGCATTTCTATCAACACTGTTTTCAGAGGGAAAACTGACGTTTAGATCAAATGATTTTTTTCTTGAACAGTGTCTGCTTTCCAAAGAAAAAGTTGTGAGGCTTTTTTTTTTTTTTGGTCAGAAGTGTTTGACAGAAAATTGAAAGATTTTAGATCCAAATGGGAGCTGTGGAGCCTCAAGAGAGTTGAAGTTGGCTCCTCATGTCCCCAAGATTTTTTTACTGGTTGAGATTTCCAGATGGACTTGATCTCCCCTAATGTACCCATGGCCAGGGGCTTCATATAATGTACTATGGGAAATGTAGTCCAGTTAAGATCCCATAAAAAACAATGGGGTATGAGGACCAGAATATTGCTCTATAACTCTTACTGTAGGCTGAAATCTTTCAGTTTTTCATTTTAATTGAAAACTCAAAATTTCCCATGGAATCTTTAAATGTAAACAAAATGTTTACAATTTTTTTTGTTTTGTTTTGTCAAAATGATATTGTTTTTGTCAAAAAAATTCCACAAAGGAAAACTATCTTCAAACCAGCACTAAAGCTCTGCTGCAGACAAGGATTTAGAGGACGGTAAGCAATGATTAAGGTCAAGTGCTGTTACGGTTCTACTTGTTCAGTGATTGATACCATAACGATGGTTGTGATATGATTACCTACTCATGATCAAGTTTCCTTTGCTAACTCTCACAAACACTGCAAGCAGGAGAGTTGGCAGCCATGCCGAGCCTCTGAACAAGGCAGTGGGATGGCTCCATGCTCCCAAGGGGGCAGGGCTTTAAGTAAAAGGGGCAACTCCTCAGGCAGCACTTAGTGCTACTTGGGATGTGCCATGCCACTCCCTCTGAGCCCTTAAATCTTCCTGAAGCACACTGTGTGGCGCTCCCATGTCACAGTAGCAGCAGTAGTGGCCAGAGCTCTGGGCCCATTAGAATCCTTGGGCGCAGGGCATTTGTCTCATTTGCCCTCCCTCCTGTTGGCAGACCTGACTGCAATCATGTCTATGAATATCATATTGCTCCCCCGATGAATTGAGTTAATAGGGCAAGCAAAATTGACTGCACCTGATTTTTTTTAAGTTCTTTAGTCTTCTAAATTGTGTCACATTTAGACACAATAATACCCCAAAAGACTGTAGGCATTAATGATTTGTCTCATTGAGCGGGAAACCCTCCAAACAAGTCACCTGGGCCTCATTACTTAGATAACTTTCACAATTGAGGAGAACATTATAATTTTCTCTGTTTCCCAGCTACACATACTGTATGTTCTAAATGTGACCCAAAAGATATCATTACCAAGGGATCAAATTTTCAAATATTGGCATCCAACAGAATATGAATCTGTGTAAAATGTATCTACAATTACATGTGTGCCTCTGAAAACAATAATTATTCAAACACAAGTTAGGTGTCACTGTGTAAAAACTCAGCTCATGCAGAGTTCAGACAGATCTCCTGAACAAGTCCAGGATTTCTCTAGCACTTCTTAGGCTCCCACTGCATTGTACCTTGTGCCACTGGCCATCATTGATTTTGTTTGGAATCATTGTATTGGTGTCCCCACTTCCTAGGTCGTAGCGGAAGTACGGCAATCCATTCTTTATCTGAACAGTGGCAAAATCAGCATGGTTGATCCGGGCCATATAAAAAAGCAAGCCAGATTCAGCCTCTGTTCGGACTTCAAATTCAATTGTGAGCCTGAAAAGCAAAATGAGAACCAAAGAAAAAATGTCTTAAAATCAGAGGAAAAATTAGTTTTTTTTCTCTCTCGCCACTCTCCTCTGTCTCAGAAAAGTGAATTGTTGAGAAGCCAGATGCTACTGCTTCTGGTTGTCTATCAAAATGCAAACATCATCAGACTTGAGAGCAGCATTTCACTTGTTATCATGCAGATGTATATTGTCTAATAGAGCAATACTACTGATCACCTATGCAGGTGTCTAAGTGATGCTATATAATGGAGATTGTCTTTTCACTTTACTTTTTTAACTAAGAAATTACTCATGGAAAACTATGTTCAAATGACATTACATATACTAAGTCAAGCACTTAAAATTAGGAAATCTCAGAATTAATGTTGAAGATGCAGAAGAGTAGGAAGGTGAACAAAATTCACTGGAATCACTGAAAGTATGTATTGTTGCATTCTTATACTGTAAAAGGGATCAATGAACCAAGTATTGCTTCACAATGTCTGTTCCAATAGCTAGAACTTTCAGAAGGAAAAATTCTGTGAATTTTTCTGTGTGGGCGTGTATCTTGGCAATGTTCCTGATGTGCAACAGGTAACCTTGCTGGCTGATTTTAATCATGAGAACAGAAGAGAAACAGAAAAAGGAACCTGCTGATTACAAGAATAATAATCTTGTTTGTGAATCAGTGTATTTCATTTTCCTCCGCATATGCAACTTATTCTGTTGTATACACTGGTTACACTGGCTCTTGCCAATTGGTATCATTCAACTGCACTATGACCTTGTTTGAACAAAATAAACAAAACATTACTCTTAATTGTGTTATTTATGGACCAAAATACCAGGCTTTGAAAAGAGCCACACCTGGCCTCTAACACTTTTGTGCACATAACCATTTTCATAGGCCAGTTTTGTGTGTGCTGAACTTTAATTCTCTCTGCGTGTTCACAAAGTTGTACTCAGTCAGACTAATCATACATAGTTTTCATGCCTAAAATGCTATTTATGTGCACTCTCCATTGTTTTCCTATATGTACAAAACTGGATTATGAAAAATAGCACTCAAGAATGTGCCTACAGTTTATGAGAATATGATCCAGAGTATTTTGTTTATCAGCCATCCACATATGACCTTGCTTTTGTTACTTCATCACAAAAATCAGATGTTGTACCTATTCTTCACTTTGGTGTCATCAAATGCAGCTGCAATATGGCTGTTCCTTGAAAGACCAAATTGCTTGCCACCCTCCAAAATAGCTGGCTTTGTATCAGCAGCACAAAAATCCTGTAAAATATAAATCATTCAATTGATTTAGTATATTAATTTATTACATGCTTTACAGCAATATGAAGCATATATCAAAAAATAAAAAAGCTCTTCTATAGTCTTCAAGGGATGCTTGTAGTTTTTTTCAAGAACAACTAATTCTGAATCCCATCTGTCCAAGATGTTTCTTTATTTACCCTGGAGCATGTTAGATGTGCTACCTCTTACTGGTGTTGCAATCTCCCAGTGTCTTTTGTCTCTCCACATAAAATAAAGTTAGCAGGCAGTAGGATGAAGATTTATTTTAAAAGCCAAGTGCCTTTAGACTTATGTGCTGTTTCTTCATTACCAGAGTATGCTCACCAGACCCTTAAATGATTCCTGGGCAGTTCAGTGCATCCTTAGTGTAACTTACTGATACTTATCCTTTAGGGTGCTGTCTTATAGAGCCTCAGAAGGACTGAAATCTGACTTAAAGGGACACTGTCAACTTGAAATCTAGACAACCTTTTAAAAATAAAATAGAAGTAGTTGCCAATGCTACACCTGCATTCAAGTCCCCATGCCAATTTTTTGTTTCTTTTACAATCAGGTTTCTTTAACTATCTTTAGAATATTTTCTGTTCCCGTTACTGTTTGAAAGACCCACACAAATATTAGGGAAACTGATTGAAGAAATAGGCACTATAAAATGTGTGCTATCAAATGTACAAAAATGACAAACCAAAGGAATACATTTTTACTAATGATCTCTTTCAGTTACTTTTAGGTGTTACTTGTAGCAATAGAGGAACATTTTCCAGCAGAAGTGAGATTGTTTTTATTTGTCTGTGTCCCTTTGAATCTTGATCATACAGCTACAGTCTAGCACTGTTCAATGAAAATGCCACAAGAATTATTATCTCCCCCCCTAATATTCCTCTTTTAGTTTCCCCTTGGGTATGCAGTGAAAAAGTTACTCAGAGGATCTAAACAACACAATCTTTGGACAATATGCAATAACACGAAAAAACAAACTTGGGAAGCTCTATTTTTATGCACTGTGTTTAATAGTTATGGACTAGCCACAGCCTCTGTTGCAAGGGCACCATTTATGAGGAACTGGGGGGAGGGAGCATTAGCTCCCCCCTCCCGAATTGTAACCTCTGGATTTCACACTTGAGGTCTGCTTAAAGCTGCATGCCCTGGCTCCAGAGGCAGTTCTTATATGCAACAGAGTTTGAGATGCTTTAAGCTTTACCTTTGGGGCAGAGAGTTTGTTATAAAAAGAGAGAGGCAGGTAATTAAGAATAACAAAAGGTGGGTCATTCAAGCAATTGAACGATTGTTAAATCATGAAAACATTGCCAGGTATTCCACTTAAGAGATGGGGGGTGGGGAAGAGAAGAGTACTGTGCTGTTAGGATTTGCATTTGGATTACCGTCAAATTTATAAATGTTCTTGAAAAAGGGGTGAACAGGGACTAATCCAAAACTGACTGAAAAAGTTACAAAGGGATCTCACAAAACTGGGTGATTGGGCAACACAAGTGCAGACAGAATTCAGTGTTGATAAGTGCAAATTAATGCAAATGGAAAAATATAATCCTAACTATGGATATAAAATAGCTGTTATCACTCAAGAAAGAGATTTTGGAATCATTGAGGATAGCTCCCTGAAAACATCTGTTCAATGTGCAGTGGCAATCAAAAACTAAAACAGCTAACAGAATATTGGGCATCGTTAGGAAAGGACTAGATAATAAGACAAAATACCATATTGTCTCTATATAAATTAATTGTATGCCCTCATCTTGAATACTAGATCTGGTCACCCCACATAAACAAAAGGTGTATTGGATTTTGAAAAGATACAGAAAGGGCAATAGGAATTATTAGGGTAAGGAACAGTTTCCATATGAGGGGAAATTAACAAGACTGGGACTTTTCAGTTTGGAAAAGAAATGACTAACTGGTGGGTGAATATGTTATATGTCTAGAAAATGATGAATGGTGTGGAAAAATAGAATAAGGAAATGGTATTTATTTCTTCACTAACATATTACAAGAAGCTGACCCAATTAAATTTATAGGCAGCAGATTTAAAACAAACAAAATAAATTATTTTTTCCATAATCAACTTGTGGAACTCTTTCAGCCAGGAGATGGTGGAAAGGCCCAAACTATAACAGGGTTCCAATAAGCACAAAATAAGTTCAAGGAGAATAGGTCCATCAATAGCTACTAGCCGGAATGGGCAGGGATGGTGTCCCTAGCTTCTGTTTGCCAGAAGCTGGGAATGGGTGACAGGAGATGGCTCATGATGATTGCCTCTCCTGTTTATTCCTTCTGAAGCAGCCAGCATTGGAAGACAGAATACTGGGCTAGATGGATTATTGGTCTGCTCTTATATGGCCATTCTGATGTTCTTTTATAGAGCTGAAATGTATCTGCTCTCTTACTGTAACTCACTAGACCCCACTCATCTTCCAGACCTAAGATAGAGCCCAGGACTCCTAACAGGGCCTATCTCTCTTCACAGAATATACATTAAAATGTTAAGGCTAACCAGTGTTCCTTAGGTGACATACCACAAGATGTTAGCATATGTTAGTGCTAGAACTAAGTGGGTCCATATTTATTTAATTTTCTTTCTTTTATGTAGGCATTAAATACAGTGCTCCTGTCAGCTAACTGCTAAGTTGTCTGCTTAAAAAATTGGAGTTTTCCAGTGCCTTGGTAGCCCTTGGATAGAGATGATGTGAGTGTGTGAGGGCTTGTACTGAGCATGCTCATTAACATTGCTGAAGCCTCCATCTTCAGTCCACTTCCCTATGCTATCATTCTCCGCCCTCCCCCTCCCCATCACAGCATGCACAGGTTGGTCTTCTCCCCACCAAAATCTGAAATTACACCCCTGCCCTATTATGTATTGACCACAGCCTTGGCTAAGTGGGGGGGCCCTCAAAGTACAATGTGCAATGCTTTCTTGCCAAAGTGTTCTTTTTGTGAAGCATTTTCTAGATATCATCATCATTCCTCAAGAAACAGGACACTTCTATTGCAAAGAGGAAATTCCCCTTCAATAATGTGATAGTTTGCCTTTCACATGTCACAAATAAATCCTCCCAACAGTTGAGAATGTTATCCACATCTGCTCTGTTCTGATACCATAGTCCTCCTTGTACTTTGGAAAAGCATGCATTGTGACAAGTACACACCAATGAGCAATTAAAGAAAAATGGGGAAAAGGAGTTACCTAACAGCACAAAACAATGAGTGACGAATGTGTGACGATAATCTTTCAGTGATTAACAAATGGGTAAAAGTGGTGTAGTTGCAGGATAATAGTCATTATAATGCTGGCTTATGTTCAAAGCTCTTTTAACAATTACAGGTGATTACAGGTACTGCATATATACTATATTATATATTACTAAACTGTCCCACTTGATACTTTCAGTAAGCACTGATACTTAGGTAGATGTACAGTAGGAGGTCTGGGAGGATAAGGAATTAATGATAGGTGCCACAAATGCTGGGAGTTAGGTAAATAGGTTAACATATCTATTAATTTAATTTTGTCATTTTATTTTAATGACAATAATATATTGTCATTATATTATTCATACAACCCTTAAAAAACAAAGCTTAAAATAGTCAACTGTATGGAGGTGGAAGTGGAAGTGAGAAAACACTGTACAAGGGAACTGTTATGGGAAGTCCAGGCTTTGTTCACAAGTCTGTCTCCACCTTCATTTCAACAAAGGTCAGCCTGACTTTATCTCTGGTGGTCTGACTTTACCTCATTCACAAATGTGTGAGCAAATAGGAACCTCATTGTCCGACTATCTCACACATTCCTCTACAAATGATGCTGCATTAGCACTTTCAAGAAAACGTGTTTATTAGCAAAGGAGGAAGGAAGCACTACAATTCACCCAATAGTGTTACATAAACAACTAGGGACCATTTGGGAAAAGTGTGGAAGATACTGTGATGATGTCAAAGTCAGCTGTAATGCTGGCGCTCTTCAGTGGCAAACAAATCCTGAGAAGCAGTAAATAATATGAGGCAGAAGCAGCAGTAACCAAGGCATTGTTCTCAATCAAGACATATTTTAGCAATCCTAGCAGAAGACAGCAGCAAACAGTCAACCACTAAATTTCTGAACTACCTCACTACCTGTGTTCTGTCGTAAAAAAAAAAGAAACCCCACACTACCCGCCACCAACACAACTTTTTCATTAAGGGTTTAACTTATGTGGAGCTGGAGAGCACATGAGTGATTAAGTCTTAAGAATAGGGTGGGATTTAAGTTTAGCATAGTCCAGTTTGATGAAGATGAATTTCTGCGCTGAATTGATTTGTACCTAAGATTCTTCCAGAATGGCTTTGAGGCAATAAACCATGGGTTAATGAATGATGTAGCAGCTATTCCAATATGATCCATGGTTATACTCTTTGTTGAAGCTGCAAATACTGAGCAATAGAACTGAGCAAAATTTTTCAGCAAAAAAATTCAGATTCAGCTACTCTGAAATATCTGGCAAAGTCATGTAGATTTCACCAAATTGTGTTAGTTCCACCACCATTAAAAGACCCAACCCTTTAAAAATGTTTGAAAATCCCCAAATGTTTTATTACAGCATTTTCAAAATGAAATATTTTGATTTTTTGATTCAAAATTACTTTCTGCTGAGACATTTTCTTTGGGTTTATTTACATATTTAAAAGGTTCAAAATCAAAACAAACTGTTTTGTGCAACCTAAAATGATTTTTGGCTTTCTGATTTGCTGAACATTTTAATAAATTTATATGAACCAGCACAAAATTATTTTTCCACCAATTTTTCAGAATTGCCAGAAAACTGAAAAATCCATTATTTGCCCATCTCTACTGAGCAGAATTTAAGCAAACATAAAACAATTAAAAAAACTAAACAATTTAAAGTGCTCTTGAATATGCAGAACTTTAACATTTATTTTTCAAAAGAGAAACTGAAGAGGTATTTGCACATGTGAATTCTTCACACATTTTTGTTCAGATTGTCACTGTGGACAATGTACTGTATGCGGATTACACGATTCTCCATGGCTCCATGTACCAATACCATCTCTTTGTTAGGGAAATATTTTCTATCATTAAACAATTAATTAATATTTATTCCTCTTAATTTTGTCTCTGAAAAATGGCTAGTATAAATACACATATACTAAGACACTGGAAAAGTGTTTCAGATTTATATATAGAAGACAGCCAAGGCAACTGAAGCAAAATAAAGAAATAAAAAAAGAAACAATCCTTCCCTCAAACAATATGCTCATGACAACCTGACCTTCTCTCTTTCATGAGAGTGGGAGTTAAGAATGGATTATCATCTCTATCTTGAAGTTTCTGTGCTCTGTATAATTGTGCCATAGACTCAGGGTTTTTGAACTGTAGAATTTTTTTTCATTGAAAATAGAAACATGTATAAGTTTCATCATGTTGCAATTTCGCCATCTTGTGGGTAGTAAACAAAAGTGTTGCTTTGTTCTCATATAAACAGGCTTGGAAGAATTTAATGTTTTAAAATAATTTCAATGGGTTTATTTCAATGTTTATTTTAAGAATTTTTTATTTTTATCAATTTACATTTTCACAGTTGCTTAAAATAGGAGTACGAAACATTTTTTTTATTTTCATTTATTTAAATTTTCACTGATGTGGGATATTTTTAGGGTGGTCAGACAACTCTGACTGGTAATAATGATTGAATGACACATAATAATTTATTAATGACAACAGAAGCTGTGATTCAAAAAGTTAAAGGTTTATCACTATTTTAAAGAAAAAATTGCCAACAACACATGCCTAAATATTTTAAAATGAACAGAAACATTTTTTGTTGGTTTGTGTAACTATGGTGAAGTCAAAGGTTAACAATACAAAGCTAATTCTACCAAACCTGTGTATAAGCATGTGCCGGATGCATGGATACATTACAACTAAGAGCCACAACTAATGTTGAGCTTGCCTAGTAAGTAAAACACTACATGCTACTGTCCTTGTTCCAGTTTTCAGGTACACCATTACATGTGTCGCAGTATCTGCAGCAGTGCACGGTTAGCCTATTTCTAGGTGAGCTAGATGGCCAGAAAAATTAAATATAATTGTAAGATCCACTTCATTGCCCTTCATTTTATTTGGGCATTAACTCATCCTCTGTTTTTGCGGGGAAGTTTGATGAAAACAGTAGCTAGATGTTATACTGTGTCAATAAAACCAGAGGTTATTACTGAAAAAAGGCTTTGTAATCTTTAAAAGAACTTTGCCTCTAGATAATGGATTCATATGAATTTTCCTATGCTAGTAGACAATGAAAATCATTAGTACCTGATGGTTACTTAGCACCCCATGTAAAATAATTTGCTGATTTTAGTAGACTAGAATCCACATAAAAAAATTCACCATTCTAGTTATCATCCTTGATAGCAGTTATAGGTGGGAGGCCAAGTGTTAATGGGAATATGGACTGAACTAGATCCCTCATACTTTGTGGTAGTTTCTTTGGATACCTCTACACTGTGGCACTATTTTGGAATACTTCAGGTATCCCAAAATATCATTTTCCATATCTTGAAAGCATGCCCATTATTTTGAAATATCTTTCGAAATAATGGGTGTGCTATTCCAACATCTCGGTAAACCTCATTCCACGAGGATTAAGGGATATTTTGGAATAGTGCTCTATTTCAAAATTTGGCTCTGTGAAGATAGCTCCAAATTTCAAAATAAGCTATTTTGAAATAAACTCAACATAAGCTACACAATTTGCATAGCTCAAACTGCATAGTTTATTTCAAACTATGGGTGCAGTGTAGATGCACCCTAACAAAAAGGACTGAAGTACATTAGCAATGGGATATGGCAGAAACTGTTCTTGTACCTAATTGGTATTTAAAAAAGAAAATTAAGTACCTGGACATAACATGAATGGGATTATGTCAATAAATCACACCGTAGACATGTAAACATCCTCATGTCTACAAACTACCATCACAGAGTTGCAAGAAACTTCTGAGTTTGTACAAAAACAAATTCAAGACAGTGGATTTTTTCACAATACTTTCCAATTTACTACTTCAAGCACCTGAGCTATTTGGCCAGGAAAATGCTGTGCCAACTTTTAATATTGCTGATTTGGAGCAGGAACAAATTTCTGTATCCATTTAAACATCAAAGCTTCTTTTCTGAGAAACACATTTTTAAGATTCTTGCCAATAACACCCAGTTTTGCACTGTCAAGAATCTAAAAGCTGAGATTCTATTACACACTGATTGGGCTTCAACTGGAAATTTGTGTCTAGTTCTGGGCGACTGTAGTGAGCAGGGTTGGCCGCTCACTGACCCCAAAGAGGAAGAACCCCTCTCTGAGCCTGGGTAGGCTGAGATGGAGTCTGCCCCTTTAAGTCCACAGAGGCCTAAGGGTGGGGCAGGAAGTATAAAAGATGAGCCAAGAAGCTCAGTAAGAGCCCAGCTGCCAGAGGGAGCAGAGACCAACCCTGAACTCTGGGGCCGAGGCTGCCACTGCCAACTGGCCTGGGCCACCGGGCCCAGGCATTGAAGAGGAGACCCTTTTCTCCCTTCTCCCAAAAGTGGACTATGCAGACCCTGTGAACCCGCCACTGCCTGGGAGCCAGGTACAGACTGAGGGGGAGTCTGGAAGTAGCCCAGGGGAAGCAGAGGATGGTCAGGGGGACCTGAGAGCCCTTTGATGTGTGTCAGCATGTTTCAGAGTGGATTCCCTGCTGACCCCAGTGGCCACCAAGGCAGCCAGTGCTAGGGCCCTGGGCCAGGACACTGTGGAGTAGGGAGGGGCCGCATCCCCCTTGCCACTCCCCATGCTGGGTGGCAGTCCCCCCCCCCCAACTTGTGTTGGGAAAAGTGTTTGTTTGCCTGTCCCACCCTGAACCAGGGTCAGGACTGTGTTGACATTTAGGCTAGTGAGGGCATTGCGGCCTGCCTTACCCCCAGGTCCCACTCTCTTAAAGGGGCTGTTGGACTAATAAGTATAGGTGTGAACACCAGTCAGGGGCCCGGGATTGAGTGAGACTGCTTACAGTGACACATTTCAGGAAAGATGCACCCCTCCTTACTATGTCCGTGCCCCCCACTGTCTGTTAGGGACGGGGCCAGCAGCTGGCAGGGCCTAGTAGCAGTGCCAGCAGTTGAGTTGGACCCAAGGCCAGTAGCCAAGCCCCTATATGTGGATATGGCAGCCAAACAGGACCCGGTGCTGGAAGCAGAGCCTCTGGAGAACAGAAGGCTGGTGCATGGGAACATGGACAACTGGGGAATGGGACCAGAATAGCCAAACCCTGGGGGTGCTGTAGCACCCCTTGTACTGCTACTTCCTATGCCTCTAAGAAGATTTGGACAAATTGGAGAAAGTTCACAAAAGAGCAACAAAAATGATTAAAGGTCTAAAAAACATGACCTGTCAGGGAAGACTGAAAAAACTGAGTTTGTTTAGTCTGGCGAAGAGAAGACCATGAGGGGACAAAGATTACAGTTTTCAACTACATAAAAGGTTATTACAAGGAAGAGGGAGAAAATTGACGATAGAACAAGAAGCAATGGGCTTAAATTACAGCAAGGATGGTTTAGGTAATCATTAGGGAAAACTTTCTAACTTTCAGGGTGGTTAAGCACTGGAATAAATTGCCTACAGAGGTTGTGGAATCTCCATCATTGGAGCTTTTTAAGAGAAGTTTAGACAGACACCTGTCAGGGATGGTCTAATGATGCTTCGTCCTGCCATTAGTGTGGGAGACTGGATTAAATAGCCTTCTGAGGACCCTTCCAGTCCTATGATGCTATGATACAGCAGTTATAACATTTTGGCTAAGGTTATAACATTTCAGAGGGATCATCAGAGCGCATGCGACCTGGGATCTACCAAGATCAGTGTCCCATCACAGGGAACAGCTGATATCAGAAGAAGGTGCAAGAAACACTATAATGAGAACTTTCCCATAGAGGAAACTTTTTTCTAATCCTGGTTAGTTTTGATTTACATCCTGAAGCCAGACGAATTAGGGTTAGTCGTGGAAGTCAGGGAGATTTTTGCCCTTAAATAATTGACTGCTTTACAAATTCCACCCTTAACTCTCAACCTGTGACTAATTTCTTTAACATACTTGCATGATGGAGTTCATCAAAGATTTTGGTCAGTCAGATTTCCTTTGTCCATTATTTTATTGACATGTTCCAAGAACTCTAGTAAATTGTAGGTAACAGCTGATGTTCAACCAGCTGTTTTATTACTCTGTCTCTATGGCAAGTTTGTCAAGTGAGCTAAGTTCCTTCTGAGGCACTTCAGTGAAGCATCCAGGTTTTCAAAAGCAGTCATCAACCTACAGCTTCCATTGTTTAGTTTGAAAATGAGGAAGAAGCCAACAAAAGCACAATTTGGGATTGCCATAGTTACTTTCTGAAATTCTTGGGGAGGGGAAAGGTGGAGAAAGGGGATATGTAAGAGAAGATCACCTCAGGATGCTATGATCATTGTATTGTAAAAACTTTTTCTGAGAAAAAAATAAAATTCAGAATTCAAGCTTTTTCAAAGCTTTAGCTAATAATCTGCTTTATTTACATGCTGCATGAAACATCCAAATAATAGTATAGGTACCCCCATGACTCAATGTCATCTAGCCATCTACACAGTAACCATAATTTTAAGGCACCACTACTGACTTCTCTCCTCTTTTCACATAAAAAAGACATCTTCTGAAAATGTTCCTTCTAGTTGCAATATACACTTACGTGGGCAGGAGGTGAAGGTGATGATAGTGGAGGAGGAGAGGAAGGAAACCTGGGGGTAGTAGTTGTGCTCTCTTTCTCCTCTTTAGCATCAGGTTCAGGTTGGATCAAGACAGAAGCCTGAGTAGCTTCATTTTCATCTTCTCCTTCAGGAAGTCTGGCCTCAGGTTCTAAAGTGGAACACTGGCCTATATCTGCATTTTTGAAGGACACAGGCTGAGCGAAGTCCATGGGGCTATGGAGACACAATGAAAATCAACCAGTCTCATGAATTCCTTTGTCTCTCTCTGTCAACCCTGAATAAGATATGCACTGCTCTGTGGTCACACTTGACCAAGCACTGAGTCTATTGTTTTAAAGTGTTATCAAAGTGATTTGTTTTGTAGAAGTTCCGCTTTCATTCTGTATTCCTTTTTTTTCTCCTGTCCACCTGTTCCCTTCAGATCATTAACCTAATAGAGCAGAGCATTTAATATGGTTAAAGCTCTATGCAAAGTGTACTAATTTTCATTATCTGACAGCCCAGAATTTCATCCTTGTTTAAAAACGAAGGCACAGAATTCCACAGTAACGGTCTGTAACACCAAGGCATTATCAACGTAAGCTTTTGTGGTCTGGAATGTTGCTGTAGAACACTGTGGTATTTTACATGGGAAGGCACTAATTCTTGCACCTGGGAAGACTGACCTCAACAAATCAGACCTATGTCCTGTCAAGGGCATAATGCATATTGATAGAACAAAAAGAACAATGGCTTAGAGAGCAGTTTTCTTTTGTGTAAGTTTAGCTTATTACAGCAACTTTTCTCTTGGAAGTTGAGGTGCTTATAGGTCCAGTAACCAAAACATTTGTGAGAAAAAGTAAGACCTACTTACATGGCATTGAAGACAAGATTCCATATGCAACCCTCAAAAGGGGGTATGTTCCTGATAGGTGAAGCCTGAAAGTGAGATGGGGTCCCTCCCACAAAGAGCTTTTTAACAGTGATCGACTGATCAGTAGATAGCCTCTGAGTCTGTCTTCTGTCTTCATCTACTTGAACAGTAAACATCCTACAGAAAGATTAAAAGCACATCAATAAATAAAAGAGCTACCATGGCTATTGCTTGCATTAAAATAATAATTTTGCAGGCACCATTTGCTGCTGCACCCGCTATAACACTGGGTGAACCCAAATTGCTTGATTAGCAACACCACATTAAGCAAATATTAGCTACTAACAGGTTCATAGCCATCACTATGTTTCCTTCATTAATTCTCCATCAGGGCTTGGCAACAGACAGTGCAGTTAGAACGATAGTAGTTGAATTGTGAAGCATGACAGCACTGACATGGTAAGAGTCAAGCCTGCTGTATGTGACAGGATGTATAATCATATAGGGCTCAGTGCGATACAACAGCATGGGGTCACATTTTGTTTGGCTCTTTATTTTCTGGTTTGTACTAGCTATTATTTTCTTGCTAGGGGATAAACAATGCTCTGGAGTGCTCTGGTTGCAGGAATGAACAGTGGAATCATACCATACATTTAAAAAATATATGGTTATTCTGTGATGTGGGAAGGGAATAAGGGAGAAAGCCATGTGAATTGTTCACTGTAATTATGCAAATGTATAGTCCAAATGTAAGAGAAGTCACACAAAGACAATGCTACAGAGCAGTTAGATAGAGACACATACCCATGCATGTCAGTGTAAAATTACTGAAAGATTTTTACCACATTTTCAACAAAGCTAAGAGGACAGAGAAAGCTAGCTTGTTAGGAATCTGTATGTTGAAAAGAAAGAAACAGGTACTAATACAGAGAATGTTGCAATAGAGAGACAATGAGTTATTTTGACCGATTACAAATATAATATAATATAAGGCAAAACAATAGCAGGGTCAGCCATCTATTTGATGTCGTTGGGACAATCTGGAGATGAGTGAATGTTGTAGCGACTGGGGAAACCTAATTCATTGTGAACTCAGTGCCAAAACGTGGATCAAAAACTTCAGTATGTTTGAGGGTGAAAGTGGAATGCTTAATTTGCCATAATCTCTTTACATTGCTTTATGGGATTTAATAGAAATTAGTCATGAGAGAGTAAGGATAATGAAAAATAGAGAGAAATCTGTAACTTTGGGGCAGGTTAGCAAGTGTGTTGTTACTTTAGCGTTGTTGAGTCAATTCTCTATTTCCGGATCAAAAGATGTTAAATATTAGGCCCTAAATATTTATAGGTGCCTAGAGTTAGGCATCTACATCTATATTTAGGCACTTAAATAATCAGTATCATTTGTTCAGAAGAAGCAAGCACGCACGCTCACAAAGAGTTCGGTTCTGCAAGTAACTTCATTTTCTCAAACACAGAATCATATAACAAAGAAAATCCAATTCAATTTTCAAAAGTAAGACACCAAAGTCTATATTATTGTGATGCTCATATGCAGAAATAGGCACTTAAACTTATGCATACACATGACAATTTAGGTTTACTGAGTGCACAGTGTCCAGCCCCTTCACATTTATAAGTAGCAAGAGGTGGAACAAAGTACTCTGATCAAAAGACATAAATACTCTTTTCCTAGTTTCCATTCCACTGCTTCTCACTTTTAGATACCTTCAGCAAAGTACAATAATACTTTATTTCATCTTCAGATTACCACAGAAAACATTTACATGTTTTCCTACAGAATACTATCGCACAATGATGTGCATTAGTCCTGAGCACTATCATATAATTATCCTGGAATGGGAAGCAATTAGTTTATAATTATATGGACAATTAGCTATCTGAAGAGTTTTCAAATATTGCTCCCCAAATTTAAGACTGAGCTGATGACTAGCAGATAAAGGGGTTAGGTTTAATAATTGATTTCTTTCTATTTCCAATTCACTCTGGGTTACATAAAGTGCACAGTGTTCATTTAATTTGTTTTATAACAGAGCTACTGAGAAAATTGTGAAGGCTTTATTATAATATATGTCTCTCATCATCTGGATGGCATCACAGAGCAGTTATATTTGGATTTAATATAGAATCATAGAATTATAGAACACTAGAACTGGAAGAGACCTCGAGAGGTCATCAACTCCAGTCCCCTGCCCTCATAGCAGGACCCAGTACCGTCTGCACCAGTGGTGTGCAACCCATGGGTTGTGACCCTCAAGGGGGTTGCGGATGTCTTCCTAAGGGGTTGCAGTGCTTAGATCCGGCTGGCCAGGAGCTGGGCCCAACCACTGGCAGCCCGCATGGTGCGGTGCCTAGATCTGGCCAGCTGGGGGCTGGGCCTGGCAGTTGGTAGCTCCGTGGTGCAGGGGTCGTGGTGGAAAAAAGGTTGCGCACCACTGGTCTAGACCATTCCTGATAGACATCTGTCTAGCCTGCTCTTAAATATCTCCAGAGATGGAGATTCCACAACCCCCTAGGCAATTTATTCCAGTGTTTAACCACTCTGACAGTTAGGAAGTTTTTCCTAATGTCCATCCTAAACCTCCCTTGCTGCAGTTTAAGCCCATTGCATCTTGTCCTATCAACAGAGGCCAAGAACATGTTTTCTCCTTCTTCCATGTGACACCCTTTTAGATACCTGAAAACTGCTATCATGTCCCCTCCGTCTTCTCCTTTCCAAACTAAACAAGCCCAATTCTTTCAGATTACCGCCGCATTTTTTATACAGAAGTTTTATGACAAAAAGTCATAAGTGGAGTATAGACTATAACAATGTTTCTCAAAGTGGTCTGTGGGTCCACTCTGAGAAACCTGCTAACTGTCTGCTTCTGTTTATTTACTGGCTCCACAGCTATGGAGCCTCGTAACTCTCATTGGTTTTAGTTTGCCGTTTGCAGCCAAGGGGAGCTGCGGGAAGCAATGTGGGTTGGGTCGCTGTTTCCTGCGGCTCCCCCTGCCTGCAAATGGGGAACTGGAGGCAATGGGAACCGCAAGACTCCTTGGCTGCAGAGCCGGTAAATAAACAAATAGGAGCAGCCAGTTTGCAAGTTTCTCAGAGTGGATTCAGGGACCACTTTGAGAAACACTGGACTAGATTAGCATAATACTCTTAACTATACTTTTCACACATTGGTTAGTCCATGTGAATCTTAAGGGGGGGATCATAGGGTTTCCCTTGATCAGTTAACGTGTTCAACTACAACTTGCTCTGGACACACTTGGAGTTCACAACATGTTAGCTATTACCAGGGCTCGCCAAACCGCGGCAAACCCCACTTGCTAGCCACGCTGTCTGGCGATCTGCTCATGCGCAGATCATTCTGCTCATGCGCAGATCGCCCGAACCCAGCTCTTCTGGGTTGCAATCTACTCGCCCCGGGCGAATAGATTGCATTATTTGTCGAGCCCTGGCTATTACTAACATATTGTTTATAATGTTTTATAAAAACATCTTTCTTCCTAGCGTGCACAAGCCCATTGAATATTTGTACAGTACATTCCACAATTGGGCCTAAACCTTGACTGAAGACTTAGGAAAGTAACAGACTATAAATATAGTAACTGCATAAATCCCTACACATCAAGATGAGAATGTTTATTGTTTCTTTTGCAACATTCGTAATAAATGGTAAAGTGCAATTCCTTAATAGCCTTGTTGGGAGCACGTGTCTGAAAAGGTGGCAAGGGAGGTTGAGCTAGTGAAAGGGTGAATGTAATTGAAATATCTGCAATGCCTTCACTGTGATAAAGCAACATTAGTGTTAATCTACTACTATGAATCTTTAGTTTTCTTAACTCGCTCAATTGGACACCACTGCAACCATCAGCATAAAAATTAGCATGTGGTATTTGGGAAAGGTTATCTGCTGCTGTTGCTATTTTGAAAGCTACATTTCTTTGCAACTCCTGCGAAGATGACTTGCTGTTCTGAAGCTCTATTTCACTTCCACTCAAATTAGATTAATCAAATACATTTGCCAAGTACCAAGAGGTTAAATATAGCAATTCTAACTAATGAAATCCTTAAGAGGAGCTGCCTGATAACCTCACTAAGGTATGTAGCCTTACCCAATGCAGTAATAAAATCAGCAGTCAAACTTTTTTAAAAGAAAACAATGCCCACATAAGAAGAGATACTGATTTCAGTTGTCTGTTTACTATGGTGATTGAATTAATTGTATTATGAGTTGTGTAGCACCCTGGACTCCTTGTTTGTTACCCTTTGATTCTTTCTATCCGGATGGAGTGTGCTCTACCATCATGAAAATCTCCAGATTCAGGCTTGATTGTGATCCTGCGTGGATCTCGTATTCCAGTGGAGATATGCACTTCTAGTCGACCTTTGTTCAGGAACACTGCATAATAGGCCTGAAATGTGGAATAGTTATTAACAGCTAAGCCATGTTCAGAAGGAAACTGCTTCTCTTAGCTTTGCATTTTCCCAAGCTTTCCTTTAGTAAAGCATATCTATTCTCCATTCCTCCACTTATTGTTGCTGGTGGTAGGAAATAACCTCATGAGACTGTCCTTAAGAACTGTGCACTGTCCTACTTAAGGCATAAAAATATAGTAATTGACTGAGGCTGTACTTAGAATTCCAGTCATCTAGGATAGTAGATGAAATTCTGCCATCCTACACTAGTATGAATCAGGAGTAATGTTTTTTAAGCCAAAGTTCTTGCTTTAGATTTACAGTAATATAAAAGAGAGCCTAATTTAACTCAGACTTGGGCATCTGATGTTGATAGCTAGAGTGGTTGTTATAGGAAGAGTTAAGATATATCAGTTTCAATTTTGCCGATGGGCTCAGATACATAAAAAACATCTTTCATGACATTTTTAATTAAAATATTTTACCCTATTTACATGCACATAGGAAAGAGCACCTCAGCCTCAAAGCATCCCGGTTCTTTGCTATCACAAGGCTAATCTTAAATCTTCCAGGCACAGGATTACCATGGATCTCAATGGACATTCTGTGTATGGAAGGCTGCCCGGATTATAGCCACCGTTACTCTAGTGACTAGTACCATGTTGTGAAGGATTCCCAGGACCCATCCCACAGTCACTCTAACAATGAATGCCATGTTCATAACTGTGTCCTGAAAAGCTTGGAAGTTGTAGAAGTAGCTCCATCCTATAATTACTATGATGAACATTTTCTTTATGGATCAGCCATTTATATGTGTTGACTCTGAATATGTTTTTGCAAGTGTTCTGTCCCAATACAACCCTGCAGGTGTAGGGGAGAACAGGGGAAAATCATTTATCAAATAAACTGTACGAGGAAAACAGAGTTGATTTCACTCTGCTATAGTCTACTTAGAAAGCTTCAACTGTATCATTATTTCAGTAATTTCAAACATCTGCAGTTTTGCTAATTAGTCACAAGGGTAGTGTAGACTGTGCTTTGCTGATGTTAATACAAGATATCCTCTCCTTCTGAAAGGAATTTTAAACTAGCCTTTATTTTGGGAAGGAAGGGGAGATTGGGGTGTCGTTGAAGCTGCACCCTTGTATTAAAAATAAACAAACCCCAGTCTACCGTAGCAGCGCCAGACATTCATAACATCCAATGGCAATATAAGTTAATGGGAAATGTGGGTTCATAAGGAATGAGACCCATCACAAACTCTGGTGTTTTGGAAAATTACTGTACAAACTGCAGTAATTATTTCATTAAATCCAGCACGTAAGCATCGTCTGATCAGTCCTGGGAGGAGCCAAAGGGCAACATTTTGTCACTCAGGTCTGACAAATAAATAAATAAATGGAAGCAAATATAGGACACCAAAATAAATGTGGCATTTATTCTTAAAAAGTGAGTGCTGTTGCAGTAGTCACATAGAGAAATCCAGAATTGATCTGTAAATATGGTCAAATTACTATACCAAAGAACATAAGAACAGCTATACTGGGTCATACCAAAGGTCCATCTAGCCCAGTATCCTGTCTTCTGACAGTGACCAATGCCAGGTTTCCCATAGGGAGTGATCAGAACAGGGAATTACCAAGTGATCCCTCCCATCACCAATTTCCAGCCTGTGACAGAGGCTAGGGACATTCTAACAAAGAAGTTCTGATGGACCATCCTGGCTAATAAGTATTGATGGATCTACCCTCCATGAATTATCTAATTATTTTTCAAACTCTTTTAAAGTCCTGGTCTTCACAACATCATCTGGCAAGGAGTTCCACAGGTTGACTGTGCACTGCATGAAGAAATACTTGGTTTTGTTTATTTTAAACCTGCTACCTGTTAATTTCATTTGATGACCCCCAAATGAAATTAGTTCTTGTTATAGAAACAAGTAAATAACTTTTCCTTATTCACTGTCATGATTTTATAGAACTCTCATCCCCCATTTAGTCTCCTCTTTTCTAAGATGAAAAATCCTATTTTTTGCAACTCTGTGCTATATTAGTGCTTTGTGTGATACCACCTAAAAAATAAAAACATGAACTGATGGAATTCTGTGAACTTCAAACCCTCAAATACTCAAGAAAGCCAGTGCTCAATGCAAAAGTAAATTGTGAGCCTTCATGTAATTTTTCCTTCAAACAAGCAAGAGCTTTGGAAAGAAAAATCTCATTAATCAGCATTGCTCTTTTATTTCTTCATAAATATATCATGGTAGTGCAGTGTACACCAAGTTGTACAAAAAAAGCTCAACGGAAGTTATGATTTTTCCATATCTTCTATTGTATTGTTCTTTACCTGTCCAGTCTGTCTGCGTTTTCTCCTCGGAGGAATAGGTGTCCCACCTGTGCCAAATAAGATGACTCCAGATTCATTCTTGGTGCTGAAGGATAAGTTGATTTCTGTACCCATGTCAAATGAGACTGGTTGCAGTTCCACAAAACCTGGTTTGGGGAAGCTAACTGTGTAAAGATTCTGTGGAAAAAAGGAGAGAAAAAAGGTGAATTGGTATGACACAAAACGAAGTATGAGCCCCTCCCAGGTTATATTTATCCAATGTATTGTAGAGAGATAGACGATAATATATAGCAATTTACATTTTGAAAGTGTTGCACAAGTATTAATCAATCAGTACCATCAAACATAATTAGAACATTTCTGTAATATTAAATTTCAGAGGGAATGAATGGTTTACACAATTGCAGCTTTATTTCAGAATATCCAGTTGGTTTAAAAGAGAGCACTTATGGTTATTTTATCTGGCTGTTTTTCTGCCACTTTTAAATCAATCCACTAAAAAACAGTAAGCAATATGAACATGTGTTGTATTCTATTATTTGTAAAAGTGGACTGGAATATACAATCATTCATCACCGCTTCATCATCATCTAAGCACTACTGCTTTCCTGATGAGACCAACTCATAAATGAAGCACACTTTGCCCATAGCCCAAATGCTTTGCATGCTGGCAGACAGAAGCACAATGTAAAGACATGCAGTATGTCATCAAATAATAAATCAATGTATTTTATATCAGGTTTTCTGTAACTGCTGCCAATCTGTACTTGATTCCAACTGAGGAGTAGAGAATATTTCACAGAAACACTGCCTTTTTCTAAAATAACTTACCATTTTGTTAGTAGAGTGGAGTTGCCCTCAGAAAGAGACAGAGTAGATTGTGCCACATGAGAGAGGCAGACAGACATCTGCAATATTTTTCTTTGAAATTCCAAGGCAGTGAACTGAATATTATGTTAAACCTCATATTTTCCTTTCACTTATTATCCTATCCTATTCTTTTATGTACTCTCCCCTTTTATTGTTTATCTAGCTCATACACTGAGTAACAAAATTATCCTACACTACAGAAGAAGTGCAAGCTAGTCACTAAGGGTACCTCTTCACTGCACACTTATTTCTGAATAAGCTATTCTGGAAAAAATACTCAAACAGCTTATTTTGAAATAGCACATCTACACTACAGGGAAGTCTCAAAATTAGTCCAAAGCAGGCTTCCCTAATGTGAACATGTTACCTCGATTTAGAGCCCCAGGAGGCACCGGGGAGTAATTATTTTGAATGGCTTTGGGAAGGAGCTATTATGAAATAGCAGCAGTAGAGCGTCCACACTATTCCTATTCCAAAATAGTTATTTCGTAATAGACATTCTCCCTCATGGAAAGAGGTTTACAGAAGTTGGAATAAGCTGTCCCTTATTCTGAATGTATTTTGTTATTCCAAAATTATGCTGCTGTGTAGACACCATAAGAGAAAATAAATTTCACTAAATATTGTGTTAAGTTTTGTGCCATTCCTTCAAGTAAGAAGGCTCTTTTTGTGTCTGGAGAATAAAAATACTCTGCTCCCAATTCTAGAATATGATTTTTTTCAGTTTCATACAGATTAAAAGCCTTTTCATTTAAAAGCAACAGTTTAAAAAATATATATATTTTAAGTGCTATTTAAAGCGAAAACAAATTACATTATTAGAGAATTAGATAGAATACGTCTAATAGTTCAGTGGATGGCTATTAAAATAAACAGTAATGGAAGTACCACTGACTGGTGTTTGCCTACATTTCTATCACCTGTAGTAATTAAAATTTATTTATATTCTAATTTGAAATCTTGAGACTTTGTGGTCTATGTCACAGATGGGAATGACCTTGCAAGATAAATTCTCCTCCAAACCTGAACCAACCTGAAACCATGATGGTGATTCAGATTTTGGTGAATTCAGTGAACCTTAGACCTGGACTACAAAAGTGAGGCCCAGTGAGGTTTCTTTTATATTAATTTTATGCAAAAATTGCTTTCCAGAGTGAACCTAGTAGTGGGGTGGGCACAGCTGGGTTTTTGGCCACTCCATACAAACAGACTCTGCCTGGGTTGATTCATGAGGCCCTCATCAGCTGACTTCTAGAGTGTCCATTTAGTCCTAGTTTCAAACACCTACAAGTCCATGGTGTCACATAAGAGGAGGCATGGAATACAAGCTCTCTCAGCCTTCTGAGTGAATTTGAGTAAGATAAAGTTGTTAACTTTCTACTTTCACAAAATCCGAATACCCTTGCTCCACCCTCCTTTGAAGTCTCATCCCGCTCAATTCATCCCCCCCATGTGGTTTGCTCTCCCCACCATCACTAATTTGATCATTTTTACTGGGCTGGTTCAAGGAGCTGGGATGCAGGATGGCATCACGGGTGGGGCCAGAAATGAAGGATTCAGAGTGCGGAAAGGGGCAGAGGTGAAGGGGGAGCTGATGGTTCTGATGTGGGGCTGGAGATAAGGGATTTGGAATGCAGGAGGAGGCTGTGGGCAGGTACTAACTGCTTTGGAGGGCAAGAGGGGGACAGGGCCTTGGAGGAGGTTAGGGGTACAGGCTCTGGGAGCTGCTTACTTCCTGCATCTCCTGGAAACAGCAGCATGTTCCTCTTGCAACTTCAGTGTGGTGATACAGGGGTTTTTAGGTCTAGATGCACTAGTTCGAATTAGCTTAGTTCGAATTAAGTTAGTTTGAATTAGTGCTGTAGTGTAGACATACCCTTATTTAGCTCTAATTTACACCTAAATATCTTTTAAGAGCCCAGTAAGTAGTGAAAGTGTTGGTAATGCTGCCAGACAATATTGACCTCCCACGGTGCGACAGATTCTCTGGTTTGGCATCAGTCAGCTCCCGAGGGTGCTGAACTAGAGAGGTTCAACCTGTACGACAATTGAACAGCCCCTCAGCCTGATCCTGCATCAACCAACACAGACCAGTCTCAGATTTTGCATTGCAGCATAGGGATACCCATAGTCTTTATCATCCTTTCAAAACTTCAGTCTTCTCATCTACAGTAACGGAATAATAATATATATAGCACAGTTACAATGCTAAATTAATTAACATTTGTAAAGGACTTTGAGACATTCAAATAGAATGTGCTTCAGAAGTGCTATGTACTACTGATATATTAACAACTCTGGGAGGGTTACTCAAACCTTCTTTTTTCTGAGGCAGAAACAATTATTTTTCATGCATCTTACTGTGAGAGAGTCCTTTGCACGGCACTGAGCTTTAATGGGTTGTCGCCGTGTAGCTTGGAGGTAGCTGCATTTCAATTATCCTCGTTCTATGGCACAAACTGTATTTTGTAAAGCGCTTTAGGATCCTTGATAATGAAAGATGCTATAAACAGTAACTAATACATAGTTGGCCTAACTCTATTCTTGTTCAAATCAATAGTAAAAGCTCCTATTTCCTTCAGTAGGTTGGCGGAAAGGCAGGCCAAAACAAAGTGATTTTGAAAATCCACTGTATGAGCACAGTATGGGATTGATATTTTGTGTTGCTAACGTACACAGAAAATATTTTATTTACTTTTTTACACAAACTGAATAGGAGAGAGACTAACCTCCAATGTGCATCCTTTGGTTATGCCAACAAAATCGGGGCTGCTTAGTATATTATATGGTGTTCGTGAAATTTCAATATCTTTGAGGCAGCCTGCATATTTCTTTAAGCTCACTTCTGGCCTGTAGAAAGATAAAAACAAATTAAAAACATAGTGCTTGTCATGGGAGTTACCAAGCAATATGTTTTCTGTGTCCACTAAAGGAGAGGCTTTATCAATCAGACCCACACACTCATGCATTCATATGCACAAAGATACATACTGCACCATTTTTTAAAAGCACAGGTACACATCTGAACACTCGAGTGTGTGCACACACACAAAGTACATCCTGCTTTCTACTGCCCATCAGCACATAGAGCTCTCTGGATTCCATCATTCACCAGAGGTCGAAAGGATGTTCTTCTCATCCCCCAAGAAGAACAGTCCTTAGCTCTACTTCTTTTCCTTTCCAAAGAGTGCTGTCTCCGTTGACAATAAATGCAGAAAACTATGAAATAAGTAGGAAACTGTCCTCCATGCAAAGCTAAAAGATGCGGGCTGGAAATCCCAAGTAAAAACCTTGACTCCGATAAAAATGTTACGTTCATGCCTACATTAGATTTTGATGGAAGAGGAACTTTTGTAACAAAGAAATTTAGGATTAAATATTTGCTAAAAAATGAAAGAATATTTCATTTCAATTCTTTGGATTTTTTTTACTAGACTAGTTTTCTTATTTTGGGAAGCCATTATGCTCTCATGGACTAAGATTCGTTTCTTACATAGCCCTCAGTTTTTCAAACACTGTCCTATAAAGGTAATTGTATTATTTCAGTCAGTTAACTCCCTCTCCCACAAAACACTTGGGGTTTGATTTGGATCCTCACTGCACAGCCAAGTAATTAAAGGTATCCTAATGTAACAGCAAAACTCCTATGCTATTGCATTGCATGGTCTTGGAATGCCAGAAGAGAAGACAAAGACTGAGCATTCCACTATAATTAACCAGCTAGTGTGGAAGTAGTTCAGAGACCTCATTTCTAAGAGCACTAACTCAAGCCCTAGGACTTGTGGCCAAGTCAGCCCTTTATTATAATCATTAGCCTCCCAACTAGCAAGAACTGCTCCACAATCTCCATTTTGGCTGAAATCCTCCTCCTCCCCCCCCCCGCCCGCCCGCAATCCATTAAGCTATGGAGACGAAATCCAAAAGGAGCAGCAGTACCTATAACCAATTCACTGACATTATAGTTAATTTGCCTGGAGTGAATTCACTGATAATTCGTGTTAAAATGTCTCAGAGGGGTAGCCATGTTAGTCTGTAACTTAAAAAAACAATGAGTAGTCCTGTGGCACCTGAGAGGATAACCTGAGTCTCTGAGGGCTCATCTAGACTATGCTAGAGTGTCAAAAGAGGATATGAAAATTCAGAGGGAAAATAATTTAGATGCGGCTTTTTCATTGAATTAAGTTACATAGTTCAATTTGCATAGCTTATTTCCACTTTAGCCCTGCTGTGTAGATGCACCCTAAGGTGCCACAAGACTACTCCTTGTCTGATCATTCGTGTCATTAAAGTCTTTGGAGATGATAATAAATATATTAATGGGATATGGGGACAATCTGATCAGCCAAATAAAAGAAAAAATATTTTTAGAAAATAACAAGGAACTAAATTGGGGAATGAAAACTGAAATCCAGGCCATCGAATTCAGAATGCTGAAAAAACAAACAAATGATGTAATATGATTTTGTGGGTATTAATTATAAAATAACTGGATTTATAACAGATCATTTCAAATACACATTTTGGAATTGAAAGCCATTCTTTGCCTTGTTGCCATCTCAAAGTTCAGCACGGATTCTGCATCCTTTACATAAATTGTACCAACCTTCTGGTTTACCAAAATAATTCAAACTGCATTTTTTCACTGCCATTCAATTATAGTCAGATTTACATTTCTGATTCTCTACATCCAGTCTCTTCTCAGTACCTCTTTAAAGATTTCACTTTGAGGCAGCAGAACTGTTCTGCAATCTCATTGCCAGCAATTACTTGCAGTTGCCTGAATGCCACCAGGTTGTACAAATACCTACATGCATGTGTCTGCCATCCAAACAGCAATTCCCCATTTGCACCCCTTTTCACTGACATCTCCAATTTCAAAAATCTGCTGTTGCCAACCTACAATTCCCAACAAGAATTATGTGAACTTAACCTTTGTGTGAAATTTTAACTCTGCTTTCATGTTTTACTAAAGATCCAATTGGGATTCATCCAGACATTTGCTGAGATTCACAATAGTTTTTGAAAACCTAGGGTGAATTTCAGGTGAATCTCAGTAGGCTTTCCTTTAAGCCAGGCCGTTTCCAGGGAGACATGTAAGGTTTTGTTCTAATCATTAGGGTTTCTTAGTTTGGGGATTGCATGTGTGACTCAAAACTAGGCATTAACTTGGACACAACCCCATTCAAACTGAAACACACATGCGCAAAAGGTATCACAACTCCCCGCTGGCCCAAACTGGCAAGTTTCACACAAATATGCTCCTAACCTTCCACCCAGTTTTAGGAATTAAATCATTGCCTTGGAGAACAACATTTCCAGTCCCTGAACTTGTTGAGCCACTAAACCGCCCCAAGCTGAGCAAAAAGCACATCTGTACAGTATTTTTAAATATAGCTTGCACCTAGATTTCTTTAACTGGGATCTTGATTGAATTAAAAAACTACAACAACTTACAGCAGAAATAAGCAACTATGTGAAGAGGCGGGAAAGTTATTTGGGTACATGTGTGCGCAGCGTGCAACAAGAGTGTTAAGCACTTGGGAGCAGCTTTGCTTGTTGCAGCAGAAGCAACTTTTTTAATTAACAGCCCCAGGGGAACAGCTGGTGTGAAAGCTACCCACAGGCTGCTTCTGCACTGCCACCTGAACCAAGCTGCGCTTACTCAATGCATGCAAGTCATGCAGATATTTAATTATTTTTACCTTGCTTTCATACTAGGATAAAAGAGAGGGAAAAACAATTTTATTTTTAATTACAGTCACTGTAGAAAATGATATTCATAATCAGGATTCAGAACATTTCAGACTGAAATAGATCTAGTGAAAACAGATGTATGATAGAGAGATTCTTTTAATATAAATAATTATACAACAGACCTTAACAGGCACTAGCACAACTAATGGTGCTATTCCCCACCACACGTTCTCCCTTAAAATGTCATGTAGCTCTGTAAATACTTGCATTATTTGTTGCTACAATTAGTCATGTGTAAAAGAAAAATCTTAAAAGTAACTTGTAGGAAATGGGTTGGGACTAATACAGCCTGGTGTTCTCACAAAGTCATAGGTATCTCAATGTCCGCTGCTTGCGGCAGCTCAAGTGATCTTTAGCTACGATAGTAAATTACTGCACCATGCATCTTGCACCACTTCACAACTGATGAATCATAGCTACAGGCACAATGGTTCCCACAGTTTAAAGTAGCTATAGTGTTCTTCGTTTCCTAAGCAACCAGAAAGGATATGCCTAGGAGTAATTTCTTCACATAATTTGGCACATACCAGTGTGACTTCACAATTATATAATACAATATGAGACTTCATAAGTGAAACAGCTTGGTTTTTTCATTGCAAGTAAACTGATATCAGAGGTACCATAAATTAAATGTAATAAGTTAACAAATATGCCTCTTCTCCTTTTGGTTGTCGCACAGCCCACTAAACTACAGCAATGCTTTCTGGTGCACAAGGTGACTAAGACTTTCATTAAGAAATGTAAATGAGATTGACATGGATTAATAGACTATTTTTGTTATAGTTCATCTGTTCATTGTAGCTCAATTTTTTTGTCATGTAGAAATACTGAACAATCATTGAACCATTGAGCCTTTGAACCTGTTAAATTCCAGAATCTCATATCCCATTTCTTAAATACTGAACTATAGTGAAAAGAAAAATTCAATGTATTTTATACATGGTGAAATTTACTGTGGAGGAGTTTTTCTGAGTAAGCAGTTCAGAATTGGACTCACAGATAAATAAAATAAAATAAAATTAACCAAATTTCATTACATTTTAAGTACACTGCATGATATTTTAAATCTATTCAATATAATTCTTGAGCTCAAAGAATTTTACCTTAGTGAAGTATTTAAGAATGGAACTTTTCTCTTTAAATAAGTACAACATTCAATACATTTTATATAACCCGTATTGAAAGTATATTAGGCCCAGATCCTGCAAAAATTGACACAATAATTTAATATTAAACAAATTAGTAGTTTCTGACTTCAGAGAGACTACTTATATGTGTAAAGTTAAACATGTACTTAAGTCATTGCAGGATTTGGGTCTTAGTTTGGTCTGTAGTTTTGGAGGTGCAAATTCCATTTTTATATGAAGCAAAAAAAATATGGATAAAGAGAAGCCATGTTACATTACTTGTTTCCATACACAGCATCAGGAACCTTTACTGTAGTATAATCACAGCTTACAGTGCATTTGAAATGGAGCAATGACCAATTCAAGCCATCTTAGGGAATAAGCTGTCACTTACAGAAGAAATATAACTTAAGAGTGTCAATGCCAAGGTACCTTTCGGTCCTGCATTGGGAATGGAATTCTCTCCTGGAAAGTGAACTTGAGGAGAACCAGGTAGATACACCACACTTACGTTATATACCCTCCCAATAGGCAAATATATTGTTTTAAGTCCAATTACCTCAGGTTTCTGAGAATTGGCAATCCACCAAAATATATTTTCTCATCAGCTTTCAAGTTGAGACCAAAATGGCTTCCTGTAGAAGTTGTTGTTATGATCTCTTCCTGATTGGTATCTATGTCTACAACTGATACATTGGCTGGAAAAGAATAAGAAGTTTAAAATCAGACATGAACAATATATTGCACAGTGGAAATAAATGAAGGAAATTTCTTTTTGGAGTGTAGAAAGTGGGGTAGAGTATCTTGCTGGTTAGATACTGGATTTCCAAATAATAAATTATCTGGCTGGGAGAAAAAACATATTTTTCTCTGTTGCCATAACAACCTGAAAAGTACCACTGCAATCTTGTATGCTTTATTTTTAAATATGTTCTATCCCCAGCCCTACCTGGTTTGTTTTCAGTGTCAATACTTTATTCAGTGACAAGATTAGGACACAATCAAGAATGAGGAGATCATTTCATATCTACTTTGCTCGTTTGAATCCAATGCAGGACACAAATAAGCAAAAGCTTTTACCATAGATAGTTGCTTAGCATCATACGTATCTCAGTTCAAGTCCCAGTGGACATATAACTTACTTCACAAACAAGCCTCATGCTGTATACAATTGCCAGGTTCCTCTCAACAAAAGTCAAATACAGAATGGATATGGAGTCCACATTCACCTCTGACTCCCTGTAGTTCCTGCTTAGCTTTAGTTTTTGTACAAGTAGAGCTTAAAGAATCCATGGCATTTTTTTAAAGCGTTTCTGCTGTCTGAGTTCCAGTATTCATGATACTGTATTACTGAATATATAATGGCTTCTGTGTTTATTTACATAATTATTGCACTGCCAGTATTTAACTCATTATTTTTAAAGCACTTTGTGATACCCAGAAATATGAAAAGCATTGTAAAGCATAAAACCAATTTTGAATCTAGCAGAAATCACATAGGTTTGCTTTATGAACTTTAAACAACATCAGAGCACTGTACGAAGAAAACATTTTTCACTCAAATACATTTTAGAATGTAATTTAGCCAGCTGAAAGCAGAATTATGCCTGAAAATTAAGCTACCGGTTTCAAGAGAAAGTCATAAAAGACCTGGTTGACACTACAATCAGTCATTTCTAACCTAAGCCACCTGAAACCTAAGCAAAAGAAGTTGCTAAATCACTTTCTCAAAGAACTTTCTAATCCAGCAATTTTGTACATCATCTTCCCCATGATTAGATGGTTAGCTGTGCTGGATAGGGTAATTAGAGCACTTACGATGTTATCACTGTAGGAACTCACCTTGTTTCTGAATTCTTGACAGGGTGAATGATTTCCATTTCCCATCGTTATAGTTTTGGTTGCCAATTACAGAAGTTGTACCTGAACCCAGATCATAGCTGACTTTTATATGCCCATCGGTGAGCTCTATGCTCATGAAATCTTTCTGTTAATGAGACATATTGGACACATTGCTTAGACACACTGGAAGACTGGTTTCTGTTCTCCGTGATAAGCAATATTTAACATGAAACAATTCTTTAATGAGTGATAATATACAAGATTGTTATATAAGTTGTTAAACTCTTCAGATATTTGCTGTGCCTAACTTCAAGTGCACCAAAATATATTGTCAAAGAGTTATTTTTATTTCTTAATTTCTTATACAGGTCACTGGCTAAAGTGGTGCATTGTCTTGCAATTTGTTTCTAGTTTACCACAAATGGATTTGTGTAGTTCAGTTTGCTGTGATTCCTAACAAGTACTGGTGCTGGTGTTTAAATACCCTGAGGTTGCATCAGTGGTAGCTGACTGGAGTGATGGTATAATAAACTAGAATATCTAGAGCAAACAAAAACCAGTAGGATACAGGAGAAAAAATTATTAGCTCATGAAAGAGTAGGTCTTGAGAAATAGGGAACTACTTAACCAGGGGCATGAGACCATGACAAGTTTTAATTTTAGATATTGTTTCTCTCATGGCTGCTCCTTCCAAAGATAGTATGAACCCACATTTTAATAGAGAAATTATTTCACGGACCATCTTTGCTCCTGTTGTATGGCCACCTACCCACCTATTCACAACCAGAAGACATCCCCAGAGAAGCTACCACAGTTGCTATATAAAAAATTAATCTTAACAAAAATAATGAATTTTGGCTCTCTCTTAATGCAGTTCCAGTGACAGGAAATAAGCCAGCACAATGTGATCAGCGAATGGCACATGCCCACAAGTAAATGTTCTGTAATGACCCAAGAAACATTTTTGAAAACCCCTGACCTGAAGCTCACAATCCATATTAGAAGAATAAAGTGTGATGGATTCTGATCTCAGTTATGATATTGTCAGTTTGAAGCAGTTGTACTGATATTTAGTGGAACTGTTCAAGATTTACATCAGTGCAAATTAGATCAGTTTCTGGACAGTTGTATTTAGGAATAAGAAAAACTTAAAAAACAACAAATAGTCTAGTAGCACCTTAAAGAGTAACAAAACATGTATATGGTATCATGAGCTTTTGTGGGCACAACCCACTTTTGTAGATGTCAGGATCATCTGAAGAAGTGGGGTGTGCCCACGAAAGCTTATGATACCACCTACATGTTGTGTTACACTTTAAGGTACTACTAAACTATTTGTTGTTTTTTAAGTTTTTCCTGTTACAGACTAACTCAGCTACCCCTCTGAAGCTTTAGGAATAAGACAACTGGTCTGTTCCTTATGTCCACAGACCCTTGACAAAGCAGACAAATGAAAAAATAAAATAATCTCGATAAACAATGTCTGAAATTTCCCAGTTCAGCTGTAGTGTGAGAACACTAATTTTTAAAAGACATGCCTAAGGCATATTCTGTTGGGTGTTCTGTGCATAGTTACACTATCCCAATGCCCACTTTGGACACAAAATCATTCTGTAGTCAGTTCTTTCTTGTGCCTATCATTTTTCATTTATTATACTTTAAGCCACAAAAATTAACCACAACTGAAGGGACAAAATAAAAAGTTTTTGCTAATTTGAGCATCTCAAAAGATGAAATAAAAAATCTTGGCCACACTAAAGTAATTGACTTCTGTGGGGCCAGGACTGCACCCATGATATTTTTTCCCATATGAACACACACCACCACTCCTTTCTCAACACTCTCACATCCAAACATAAGATGACAACTGAAATGCTGCCTAGTATACTAGAATATTGTCACATACAAATCATTTGACTCCACAACTCACTATCTATAAAACCCTCCAGCTTCAGTATTGCAGAGATAATCAACATTGTAATTGCACAGTTGTTTTTTTAATTTTCATTTCTTCTTTTGAGGATCAGATATTTAGTAATTGTATAGATAGCATGAAACATGGTGAGAAGGTTTTATTTTTTTACCAAGTCATCTGTAGCAAGATACATCAGCAGAGCACTGGAAGAGAAGGTCTTGAACTTGAACATCACAGTAGAAATATTGGGGTTCCAGCGGACTGGGCGGCTCACCAACGCATAACCATCTCCGTCAAACTGAACAGTTCCCTCACTGTCTGCCACCTGTGGGCTATTAGAAAAAGAAAGTCTTCATATTCCCACTAGTTTTTCGAACTGCTTTTGGGCAAAAAGGAACCACAAGAATCTGAGGGAAGCCAAATCTTATTCAAATATATCTTCTGACACCTGAGCCTGTAAACTCAATCCATATGTTGTAAAACATGGAAGGTAGTCTAGGAGAAAAATAGGGGAGATGTCTGCCTTGAGTGTTTCATAGGCCATATAATTTAATCTGGCATATTTTAGTGTGAAAAGATTCATGTCAGCATTAGGTAACCACAGATATTAAGTGATTTTAGTAGGTGACAGCCCTAGAGACTGAAGTCCTCTATTTATTCACAACTGATATACAGCACAAGAACAGCAGTGTCAGTCTCCCCACACTGTTCTGCTACTGTGCCTGAATTCTGTTAATATCAGAGCTCTGAGCCACAGGACTTTTCAAACCTATAAACCTGCCACCTCTGACTAAGGAACCCAATCCTGGACTCTGATTGGCAAAATGCTGGGTCTCCTGATTGGTTCACACCTTCCGTACAAACCACACATTGGTGCAAGCAGCTGTCTGTGAAACTGGGTTCTCTCTGCTTCAGACTGTTTTTCTTTTTTTTGAGATATCTATTTCTACTGTCTGCTGCTGATCTCTTGGTAACCTGACTCACCTAGTTCCTGACCAATGTTCCCTCTAATCTTTTCCATCCTTGTGCAGACTTTTTCCATCTATGTGCAGAATAAATATTTTATGTGCACCAAGGATGTATGAATGTGCACCACCAACAGAAACAAAACCTAGGTATGGGCACTCTATTAATTAGTTGGGCAGCATTTGAATCTCTCCTGAGTAGCTTCACAAGTGCACGGCTTACAGGGAACACTGCTCCTGACATCTGATTTGGGATTTGACCTCTGGCCTGTCTTGGAGTTGGAGCTCTTGCTACTGGACCTGGCCTGACCCCCATCTCCTGTTCTGAACTCTAGGTCAGACCACCCAAATCCAGGTTGTGACAGTTAAGTTAAGAAGAGAACACATGTTTCAGGAACAAGTCAGTTCAGTTTCCTTTGCTGTTCAAACAATGTTGTCTCTTCTGAGACTTCCAACAAGAGATGCAATTCATGCCAACTTACTATTGTGGTGGGGTTTTTTGAGATGTGGATTCATTCCCATTCTTTTCTGTCAGACAACCAGTGACTTTTGGGCACTACTAAAGTCAGCCGAATTTGATCAAGAGATTTAGAAACAAAGAAGTGGCGTGCATGGGTCCTCACTCAGGCTATGTCTACACTTGCGGCTTCTTGCGCAAGTAATATGCAAATGAAGCTAAGCGTGGACTATTGCTGAGCCTCATTTGCATACCTAATGAGCTACCATTTTTTCAGAAGAGGCTCTTGCGCAAGAAGGAGCGTCTACACTGCCCCTCCTTGCGCAAGAAAAACCTTCTTGTGCAATGCCGTTCTTCCTCTCAAGTAACAGGTGTAACGGCATTGCGCAAGAGGGTTTTTCTTGCGCAAGAAGGGGCAGTGTAGACGCTCCTTCTTGTGCAAGTGCCTCTTCTGAAAAAAATGGTGGCTCATTAGGTAAGCAAATGAGGCTCAGCGATATTCCACGCTTAGCCTCATTTGCATATTACTCGTGCAAAAAGCCGCGAGTGTAGACATAGCCTCAATGTTTCATTATACTCGTGCAAAAAGCCGCGAGTGTAGACATAGCCTCAATGTTTCCTTATGCATAGGGCCCTGCCATATTAATGGCCAGGAAAAATATGTCATGAACTGTGAAATCTGCTTTCCCCGCATGAAGTCTGGTCTTTTGTGTGCTTTTACCTTATAATACATAGATTACACAGGGGAGACCAGTTCTGAAACTGGGCATCCTGATCCAAAAGGATTTTAAAGGATGGTGGGAATACTGCCACCATTCTGTGCTGTCCTCAGAGCTGAGTCGCCAGCTCTGAAGGCAGCGCCCCATCACCACCAGTAGCAAAAGCAGTAACAGTAGCGATACTCTGCCATACTCCCCTAACATTTTTGCTGCTGCAGGTGGCAGCTCTGCCTTCAGAGCTGAGCTCCCAGCCAGTAGCCTCCACTTTCTAGCTGCCCAGCTCCAAAGGCAGCGCAGCCACCAGCAGCAATGCAGAAATAAGGGTAGCAATACCACAACTCCCACTACAATAACCTTCCGACTCCTTCCCCCAACTCCTTTCTTGGTCAGGGTCCCTACAATTACAACACTGTCATTTCAGATTTAAATAGCTGAAATGATGACATTTCCAATTGTTTAATCCTATGACCTTGAAATTGACCAAAATGGACTGTGAATTTGGCAGGGCCCTAATTATACATACTATTCCCTCATTTTTATATGTAAAAAAGGATCCTGGATTTAGATTTCTAACTCCCACATAGTCATGTTTCATGGTGAGTTGCTCTCTCATATATTTTCCAGGAGAGCAATTTTATGAGATTAATTTAAGTTCTTATTGTGGGAATGGGGCAATGTGCTATGGATGAAGTTAAGGTGAGCAAACTTTGCACTTTCTTACATGTTCCTAAGCCCCAACATTCTTTTTCATTCCTTCTCTTGAGCTCCAATCAATCATTTCAGGATCATCACACATGTGCTTGAGAAATGAGATTTATTCTGTTTTGGCCTGATCCAAAGCCCAGTGAGGTCAACAAAAGATTTTCTACAATCTCAATAGGTTTTGGAGCAAGATTTCACTGTACTCAGATGAGGGTACTCTCTCCTCATTAGCCTTAACTCTATTGCAGGTACTATCAACCTCCTTTATTAAATGGGGGAGGGGGACCCACTACTTGGTATTATTAATATTCCTTTAGATTCATTGATTTATGTGCAGCATTCTGTATTGTGCTTACTTACAGGGGGATGACTGGTAAGGATATTCCTATTTTACTCCCCAACAGAATGATGCATGCTCACAGACAGATATATAAAGAGCAAAGAACATAAAAAGAAGCCAGTTCATTACCAACCTGACAGTACATCCTTTGCAGTCACCTTCTGTGTCTCTGAAATTCCACAGTCCTATGGGTTTGCTGTCCAAGTAAGTTTCTCCCATGCAGCCAGTGAAGGTAGTGACTCTTACAGCATCAGATTTCTGCAGATAGGAAAATACAGAATTTGTTAGAATGCAGTTTGAAGTGATCTTCTATCTTCACAGTATAACGGTAGAATGGATACAACAAATACTGAAAGAGAGTGGAGATTTATAACAAAATATCATTTTCATTCCACACATTCTTTTTTAAAATAAGTATCTGGGCGTAGATAAACTAGTATAGGAGTGCAGTAGGACTGGGG